CATATAAAAAAAAAAAAAAAAAAAAAAAAAAAAACCCTTTCCATACTGCCCACTGCCCAGTAATAAGATCAGGCATGGCAGTTAACTCCTGAGGATGGAGACAGGTGACAAGAGGAGACACCAGGTGGGCACTTTTTATACCTGAAACCAAATAATATTTACTTTAGTTCTTCCATACTGGATGTGAATATATCTGAAGAGAAAAACATGACATTGAGCCTTTCAGTGCAATGACTCTTAGCCTCTGTGGAACTGAGGCATCTTGGATTTGCATTCCCACCATTAATTTTCTATTTCATTGTTAATGATTGCATCCTGATAAAAATGACTTTCAAGAACTGGACTGGTATTTTTGGTGTCTAATACCTCAACTTGATGATTAGCCAGATAATGATTTTTGGAAATTGAGTTTAGTGACTTGCAATATTAAGCTGTTGGGGATAAGTGGCCATGCGTGGGGTTACACTGAATTTCGTGGCAAATGTAATGAACAAACGATTCTGCTTAGAAAATTACTGTGATTGTGTTCCATTCTTCTTTAAGGCTAGGGGTTGTTTAGCCTGATCTCCAAAAAGATGCATTACTTTTCATCATGGTTTTAATCAATTTTATAAGAGAAAAGAAAATGAGAAAAAGAACAACTGGATTTCAAAAGTAGTTATTAAAGAAGAATTTTCTTACATTTTTTTTTGTACCTACGATCTCACTTTAATATCAAAAGTATTTGCATCCATTCCCACCCTGTTAGCTCCTGGGGGCGGGGGGGGATCAATTCCAATCACATTTTACTATGATGGAAGATGTTTCCTCATGAAAAATGCCAATACAGATTTTTTAACATTATTTTCCAAATGCACTTTCTAATTTTTGCTTTTAAAATAGCTTCTTGGAACGAATTTTATTGTATTTGTACCTAATTTTTGTTCTCATCTAAATGTGCATTTTCTGACTGTATAGAAGAAGCTTTGTTATGTAATTTAATAATAAATTAGAAATCTAAACTGTGCTTACGGTTGTGTGTATTGGAACAGCAGCCATTGAGGCCATTTGGGAGTAGTGACTATGAAATCTTAGGTGTTGGTAAGTATTTCTCACAATGTCCTAAACCTCAGAATGAAATGATACCAGTGCTGAAAAGCTGTGACCTGTCATTCCAAAAACATGAACAGTAACACTGGGTCCTTGGGAAAGTCATGACGCAGTTTTGCATGGAAAAACATGTTAAATTATGTCCTGCCTTTTCCGGCAACCTATTATTTTAGTCTAAGAAGTGAGGAGACTCTTGTTAATACGAAACTTTAAAACATATGATAGGAATCTAAAATGGTAGAATTTGGCCAGGTAAATAGGTTCTCACCCTCCCTAAGTAAGGACTTTTTATCCTGTAAGTCAGAATCTGAGGCTCCACTCCTCCAGAGAATGGGAATGCTTTGTTTCTCATTCCCTCTGCAGATGCTCTACTCATGTTTTTCTGTGGCGTCCTTCAAAATAACGCTGTGGGCCAGCCCATGGTGTGGTGATGAAGCAGCTGGATCCCACACTGCTGACTGTATGGTTCAAGTTCCAGACCTGGTGGCTTCAAGAACATGCCAGGCTTATGTGCGTGCATGCCCAAAATTCTAGAAGGAGGGAGAAACAGAGAAGGGATTGCAGTGTCACCATCTTCTGTCTTGCTCGCATGCTCTCTCTCTCTCTCTCTCAGCAAGCACATGCCCCGTCTTGCTTGCGTGCTCTCTCTCTCTCTCAGCAAGCACATGTACCCTCTGGAAAATTAAAAAGCAAACTGTAACAGATATAATTTATGTACCATAAAATCTTTTTTTTAGAGAATTATTAAATTTTTATTTATTTATTTATTTATTTATTTGCTATAGGGAGCGTGCACTCACCAGAGAAACAGAGAAAAGAAGTAAGAAATCACCCCCCACGGGGGATGGCCATACCGAAATCTCTTCTCCTCCATTCTCCTCTTGGGATTTTGGGCATGCACAAATCCCTGCCGGTGTGAGTTTTAAGCTGCTGGGTCCAGGCCTCAAACCACAGTCAACTACATGGGAGTCCAGCAACATAACCACTACGCCATCTGCTGTTTCCCTCATTTTTTCAATTTGACCAGAGAGAGAGGGACAGTGAGATAGCAAACTGCCTAGTCTGGTACTCACATCCATGATCAACTATGTGGGAGTCCAGCGCCTTCACCACCACGCCACTGGCTGGCTCCAAATCTCTTTTATAGTGTACTACACACTAAACACCACTCTTCAACTTCAAAACATTTCTATCAGCACAAAAAGAGACGCCATACCCATTAGCCGTCACTCTCCTTTCTCCTCTCGGTCCTTTTTATTCAACCACAGCATCCCAGCTCTAGTCTCCTAGCTACCAACATGGCCTCTGAAGTTTCTCCTCTTCCTTGAGGATCCTGACCTTATTGCAGCATTCTCATGATGTGCCCCGCCATGGTGTGCACACACCCACATAGACATCCGTAAAATCCAACACCTCTTAGTGAGATTGCCTTCCCACTTTACAGATAAGGAAACAAGACCAGGGAACGTAAACTTTTACTCAAAGTCAGAGTGAATGGTAAAGTAAGGATTTGCATCTTTTTAAAAAAAATATTTCCCCTTGGGGATCAGCAGGTGGCGTGGTGGTTAAGGGGCTGGACACTCCCACATGGCTGACCATGGTTCAAATAGACCTGGCGGCGTGCTTTCTCACTTTCTCTCTCTCTCTCTCTCTGTGTGTGTGTGTGTGTGTGTGTCTGGTCAGATTTAAATAAATGAATATAAATGAATGAATGAATAAAATTGAATAAAACAATTCTTTAAAAAAAAAATGTTTCCTTTCAACTTTGCTATTGATATACTGAACTTGAAAAAGCTCAAAGAATCCAAACACAGGGGACCAGTAGTTGGCATAACGGCTATGTCGCTGGACTCCCACGTAGTCCACCACGGTTCGAGTCCTGGACTCAGCAGCTTAAACTCAGACCGAGCACGTGTGCATGTGTGCCCAGGATCTCGAGGAGAAGGGATTGCAGTATGGCCATCCGGATTGCGGTCTGGCCACCCACCCTAGGGGGTGATTTCTTGCTTTCTGCTTCTCTGTCTTTCTGGTGCATGCACATGCCCTATAGCAAAAACCTCTCCCCCCAAAAAAGAATCCAAACACAAAAAGAAACATG